ATTTTTTGGTAACTTAAATTACCTGGCATTTCTACAAGACAACACAAACATATACGTGTACAATATGGAGTTTCCCCTACTTTGTGTGTTCTATAATACACATTGGTATATAAATAAGTGTGAGCGAGATTAATCTTACACGGAGTGATGTAAAATGAAGTAAGATATAAATGAGTTAAAGAAGGATGTATTTACTTTTGTTATGCAGAATTTAATTTTTTACAGATTTTACTCGAAACATTATTAAAACTTTTTGCAAATAACCACCTTCACTTTCTGAACCATCTTCTTCATATAAAATCTAAACACCTAAATACCTAAAATCTATGTGTACCTAAAATCTAAATATCTAATTTAAATATGTTTCATTAAAATCCATTCAACCGTTTAAACGTAATTGTGTTAACAACCATAAGAAATTTGAAAAACCACTTTTTTTTTTTTAATATTCCCAACGTGATCAGGAGACCTTAAAATGCGTTTTTTTATAATACAAATTTTGGTTGATATTTTTTTCAATTTAATCGGAAAGACAACTTATACAGCTTATGCCACTTGCCGTCGTAGCTGAGGCACTGAGGGCTGTGCTGTGACTGTGATTCTGAGACTTTAGCAAATTTAGCATTTCAAGAGCGAGAAAGAATCGTGATTTACATTCGAATTAACATTACATATGTACTAAGATAGTCTTCAAACTGACTCCAAGCTATCAAAAGTTCATCACTCCATTGCAGATGGCGCTGAGATAGAAAATCCTCAAATCTTACATCACTGCTTACATTACAAGTGTTAGATTTTTATTCGAATTTCGAATGCCATAGTTTTCAAAATGAGTTTGTTGACAGATCCTAGAGCAGGATCTGGGAAGATAATAAAATTTTTATTAAAATGGGAACGACCCCTCTGTTTTCTACTTTATATCAGTGGGATTATTTGGTTATTACTACTTGCTTTACCAGCATTTAATGACAGTAAGTATTACTTAATCTTTGTGTCTTTTATGCCAGACATATTAGGTTATACTTTTACATATCATTTATCTAAGAATTAATTTTCAATCAAATGTAGATTACCGATTAAATTATTACAAAATTATAATCCATTTTTTCATCAGTATAACGTAATAATTGCTCAACAATTGTAAAACTACACATGAAAAATAAATAACTTTATATTACCTTTATTGTATGATAATATTACGTACAGAGTAAACATATAGCAATATTTTTAGTACTGTATTTATAAATACAATTACCAATTACAGATACCTATTTCTCTGAAAATGCTTTATTGCCAGGATTGGTTACTACTGAAAGTAATTTGGAACAAACAGCAAAACAGTATTATTACGAGTTGATTCACGAAATGAAACGTTATCCCGATACAATGCCATATGCTTGGCTAACAGCTAAATTAAATCAGCTCCAATTAGATGTCTACATACATAATTTCTCATTAATATACCCATTTCAGGAACAGAAGGTAAATCAAAAATAAGTATTCTATAGAATCTATGGCATATAAATTAAAATTTAAAATTATGTGCATCTTCTTCATGAGTTGTGATGTGAAAAACAGTTATTTTATAGTTTACAGGGCAAAATATATATGGAATTATAAGAGCTCCAAGAGCAGCCAGTACAGAGGCAATTATAGTCAGTGCTCCTTTTAGACCTGTAAATAGCATTTATTTAGATACTGCACCCTCTGTTGCTCTACTTCTTGCATTTGCCAAATTCTGTAGGAGTAAGTCATTTTAATGTTACAAGATAAACACAACAGTTGTGTGTTCTAAATTCTTCTATTTTAGAACAAAAGTATTGGGCGAAGGATATTATATTCCTAATAACAGAACATGAACAGTTAGGAATACAAGCTTGGTTAGATGCATATCATGGAGTTACAAGTGGTGATAAAGGTGTACTTATACCTGGAGATCTTGCAGGTCGAGCTGGCTCCATTCAAGCTGCTATTAATTTAGAATTACATTCAATGAAAATTTCATCTATTGATGTTAAAGTATGTTTTATGTATTTACTTAATTATTTTTGTTGAAATATTCTCTTGAATATATAAATATGCTTTTATTGTCAAATTAATGCACAGGTTGAAGGTTTGAATGGACAACTGCCTAACTTGGATCTTTTTAATTTAGCACAGAATATGATTGCTAAAGGAGGAATAAGACACTCGGTTCAGAAACGTTTTGATGTTAAATACAAAAACAAATTAAAAAACTGGCGTTATCATTTTAATACACTTCTTATGATGATAGGTACTCAGGCTACTGGAATTCCCACTGGTAATCACGGACTTTTTCATAGGTATTTAAAGAAATATTAACTGCATGATGTGTTTGAATATTTTAATATAATTTAATGATATTTAATGTCATTAAAGATTTGGGATTGAAGCAATTACTTTGGAAGGTTTTGAGAAACGTGGACAACAAAATTCAGACGAAAATTTCTATCAAGTAGGTCGTGTAGTGGAAAGTATAATTCGATCATTGAATAATTTACTTGAACGATTTCATCAGTCGTACTTTTTCTATCTATTACCATCAACCGATACATATATTTCTATTGGTAAGTACAAATTTATGTTAAAAAAGTTTTTAAATATAAATGAATTGAATTATTAACTTTAGGACTTTATATACGGTGTTTGGTTCTAATTATTGCTGGAGTGTTTATAAAAGCATTTGCCATCTGGCAGAGACTTCAGATGTCTCCTGTAGAAGATAAAAAGAATGTTACTACGATGCAATCAAAGGTTAGTTAAGTTCATTACGTTTATATTATGCATATTATTTATCGCTAATATTGTAAATTTTATAGAAAGATGGATTTGATATTGGAATTATAACTTCAGAAATATTATGGGCTCATATTTTTGGAGTCATAATCGCTTCATCGCCTAGTGCACTAACGTATATTGGTAAAAAGATGTGGAATCTTCGTACGGAAGATTCTATATATTTTGGATTTGCGGCTATAACTGTAATAAGTTTAATGTGGCCATTGTATCCTAAAAGGTAATTTAAACACTCGATAGAATATTAACTCTTGAGTTTGCATCATTACAAGTTATATGTATTTTGGATAATAATATGTTATAATTATTTTTAGACAAATGAAATATAAAAATGCAGCTTTAATTTGTGTAATTTCATCAGTGGAATTAGCCACTGTGTTAATGTGTATAGCTATGCACAATTTTTCTTTAGCTCTCGTTACCGCTATTGTTTATGTACCTGTGATTTTACCAATTATACCAAAACAAAAATCTAGCAGCAAGTAAGAATATTTTTAATGAACGTTTTTCGATAACCTTTTTTGCTAATACAAATTTACTTGTTTCAAATTATATGAAATTATCTTTGTGTATTATAATTTTGTTTCAGATGTCGCAGCATACTTTCATTTCTTTGGTTACTCTTACATCCGTTTGTGACCTCAAATATTCTTATTTTGTGTTACACATATGCAAACTTTTCTACGGATCCATTTCTTTCGATATTGTTTCGTGGCTACCGTGCTACAAAGCAAGCATATGTCTTTAGTATTATGGATTCGATGATATACGGGAACTGGTTTTATAATGTAACAATTACTACAATATTCCCCATTTGGATCCTATTTTGGAATATCTTGTGTACAAACAGTGTGATATCTACGTAATATGCCTGAATTACATTTTATTCTTATTTAAATAATTACTACAATTTTTGTATTATTATTGGTATGAGAAGGAGGGAAATAGAGATATACCTACGAAAGTACGTAATTCAGTTCCAAGTATGTATTCCGGGTAATCGAAGTTCTACTGTATTTGAAAATATTTTTGAGTGCAGAGATTTTGCACATCCTCTACATCTGTACAATGCAAAAGGTTGATTTACTATTGCAAATATAAAGAATACAGTTAAAGGGGCTCGGGTAATCAAGTGACTACGGAGTCAGCAGGTCGATATCTGGCTGTACAGATTTCGTTACAAAAATGGTATTATCCAGAGATGTGTAGTTGTTTGATAAATACGAGATGGAAAACACGCTGGTGTTTTCTATTAGGAATGAAAAAAGAACTCTATTCGAATAGAAATATTTTCCGGATCGAGAAATGCAGTGACATCTTCTTATAACTTTTAAACCATTAGAGGTATTGGAATGAAATTTTCACTAAAAATATTTAAAAAATAATCATTCTTAACTTTAGGTAATTAAATATTTGTCTGCATTTGTTAAACAATAATTTTTAATTAATTTTGATTGATTTTTAATTCATTTTTGATTACACATACATATAGTATGTATGTGAAATATAAAAAAATACGATCATGAATAAATAATAATTTTCGAAACGTTAAACTTCTTGAAACATATTGTTAAATATGTATTTTAAATATTTATTTAATTATATGGCGTAGAAGTCAAAATTATACTAGTGTTAGAATACTTTCGTTACCCACTGCAAATACTGTGGTGAGATTTTTTTCGCGAAATATATCACAGTTTGGTGATCATTATCCACAGGAATATATAAAAGAAAAACAGAACATTGAAGCAACGATTAACCACCAATATTCTACTGTACGTGAAGGAGCTTCGAAAGCAACAAATTTCCAAATTTTTTTCAAATTTTTGAATTTTCTGTACATAATTAGTAAAGATATTATTATAAAAGTATTCGAAATATTTAAAAATAATTTAATACTACTTACACAGCACTTAAGTCTAAAAGATTTGAGTATGTGCATAATTTAATTAGTTATTATAGAAAATTTATTTTATAGCATC